GTGGGGTCCTGATGCCCATGCTCTGCCCTCAGGGAGTAGCTGGGAAATACCTGGCTCTCTCCGCGTGTTTCAGCTGGGACCCCTGGCAGTGTGGGCGAGCACAGACTCGAGCCCAGGAGTCCAGCTGCTCCTGGAACACTGGCTTTCACTGCGCAGGGCGTGTGGGGCGCACGGGGCTGAGGGTTTGTTCACCCCGCCCGCAGCCAGAGAAGTTCCTCGGGCTTGGGCGGCGGGGTCCTGATGGACGCGCTCTGCCCTCAGGGAGTAGCTGGGAAATACCTGGCTCTCTCTGCGTGTTTCAGCTGGGAACCGTGGCAGTGTGGGTGAGCACAGACTCAAGCCCAGGTGTCTAGCCACTCCTGGAACACTGGCTTTCACTGCACAGGGCGCGTGGGGCGCGTGGGGCTGAGGGTTTGTTTGCCCCGCCCACAGCCAGAAAAGTTCCTAGTCTAACATTTTGTAATAGAGGCAGGGAATTATTTGAAAAATCATTTAAAAATTTCATTCTCTCTGTATACAAACTGGAAATTCTTATATAGTTCAAGAATTGACTATGTAGTGAACTGATCTACGAGTATTTAGATATGTTTTGGCTTCTAACATATATAGACATCAAGATCCCTTAAAATAACATAATAATCTTTTTGAAATCATCTTTACTATATCCTGTGTGATACAGATTGTGTCATTGGTCCAAGGCTTTTTAATTTCCTTCTGAAGTTTCACTTAAAGTCAGTCTTAGGCAGAACCATTGTCAGACCGTAAAAGTGAAAATTTCTGACAGGTTTTATGATATTTGAATCTAAAGAAAGAAAAAGTGTATGTGTTAAATAACTCTTGATAGAAATATGACATGCACTTTAGGACCTCTAAATAGTCACTCCTGTAGCAGTAATTATGCTATGTTATCAGTTCAATGGACTGCTCAAAAGAAATTGACCAGTTCAATGGACCAATTTGTCACTTTTATATTTAAAGATTATTCTAAAAATGTTTTTTCCTTTAACATGAAAGGAAAACCCTGTTTCTATCGCAAGTACAGAACATTTTTTTGTCTTTTTGAGACAGGATCTCATTATGCAGTTCAGGCTGGTCTTCAACTCACTTTGTAGCCCAGCCTGGCCTCAAACTTGCAATGATCCTCCTGCCTCAGCCTCCCAAGCGCTAGGATTGCAAACATGCACCACTATGCCCAGCACAAGTGCAGAACTTAAAAGTAGTTTTTAAATGCAATTATGAAATAGGAATTTCTGAATCTATTCTTACAGTGTATCAGTTTTGTAACATTGATATTTAATTGCTTCTGTTGATACATTTCACTAAAATTAATCAAGAATACATGAAAAATAAAACAAAACAAAATCTATTTGTAATGGAAACACGGTGAATTACAAAACTAAAGAAAGTGGTTGATACAGACATGGATGTAAGGCTATTGCATAATGTTCACACACTGGAAGAATGTGTATGGGAGTTACTATACACAGCATTCTGGAGATTTACCCTTCAATTTAAGAGCAATAGTTTTCATTTACTATGACATAAACAGCCGAGTTTTTCTCAGCAATCATTTCCTATGTATGATCTTATCTGTATATGACAAAAAACTAGTTCCCTAATATTAGGTTAGTAATAATGCACTTTTATATAACACAAAACCATTGCCTTTAAGCTAAAGAAATTATTCAGGTTTTTAAAGTCATTAATTAGCAACGGAAGGACCAATTCATTTGCCAAAAAGCTAGATTAAAAAATATACATTCTAGTAGGATGATAGCAGAAAGACTAAGTAGTGACATGACTTTATGGTGTGTAAATTCTTGTACATGCTCACACTTAAGTTTAAAGACCCTAAAGCATACAAAGAAGAGATCCTTATTTCTAGTTAACACACAAGAACACTATACCCTTGAGATTTTCTGGAGTTTTAATTAACATATTCTCCTGTCAAGTATCAGATTTGCCAATTTATGACAGTCCTTTCACTGGTTCTCATGACATCTGCATAGGAAATGCTATACTATATCAGTTTCCTGATGTGTGACCTGATGTAGTGAAAAACAAGTCACTAAAGTGTGGGAGACATTATCCTGAGTGTAGCTCCAGTTACTGGCCATGCTTTCTTGCCTAACATTTGGGAGCATCAGTTTCCACATCTGTATTCCTAAGAATGACTATGAATGTCTTACCTGTTTTACAGAGGAGTTGAGGAAGTCCAGTGTAAGAAATCTGGATCTGAAAGTGGCTATGTGATGTGTGAATCAAATAATCGATCTGTTCTATTATTGTGGTGAGTCCAGGACTGGGTCAAAGCAAAACTCTCTACTCTTCTCTGGATTGCATCTCCTGCTGCTTCTTCAGGACACGTCCTCTATTATGCTTCTCTCCTCTCTCCTAAAATTTCGAGCAACGAGAGAAAAATAATTAAGACAGAAAAGACTGATTTTATTTCCTTCTTTGCCAATTTTATAGCTTTTATTTCCTCTTTTGTTTAATTCTGTTCTATAATTCTTTCATACAGTATCAAACATCTGGTGATATTGTCCATCATTGCCTCCTTTCTTCTTGAATGAAAGTGATTTTCCATAATAAACTCTACTACTTCTCTTGTTTTTATCCATTTCTCTCCACCAAAGCAATCTGGAGATAATCCGAGTATCAAGTCTTCCACTTTTTATTCAGAATTATGGTTCAGTTTAGCCTTGAGTCAAAACCTTCTTGTGGAATGCATCCATAATAAAGTCCCCTGCTACATTAAATCAAGAATTTAGAGTTTGTTATATCTTCAAGGAACAACTTAAGCACTTCGTTGTATTTTCCTTGGTCATCATCATTTTGATCTGCTTTTAAAATCTCATTACAGGCCAGGGCATATTTCAGTAGCAAAGTGCTTGCTTTTGAGGCCCTGGTTCAAAAAACATAACAGGAATTTTTAAAAAGTGTTATTCATATATGTTTGACACTATGCCCGTAGTCTATTTTATTTATATTTCTCTCCTAATTATTATCACTCTTGTTATTTTCAGCCTCCTCACTTCTCCCTTCAATGACAGTGACCACTTTGAAATCTCTTGTCATCTTTATTATGCTCCGTTTTCACCACACTAATCCTCATTTGCTCTTCCCAGACTATAGAACTATGTCAAAATTTTGCAGTCAGGATCTATGTTTTGACATTACTGATCAACTCCTGAGGCCTCACGAGTTCACTTCTGCACCCCTCAGACCCTGACAGGTGTTTCATCTTGGCCCCACTGGTGTATCCCACTCCTCACAGTCCTCACACAATGACAGTCACCATACCTGGCTACCAAGCACATTGCACTACAGCCACCGGGACCCATCAAGGTGGCCTCACACTAACATAACCCACAGAAATTGATGAGAGTGCATGTAAGCTGGATGCACTACTCCTAAAACTTACAAAGCACACAGTTGCCTATGAAAGTTGCTTCCCAGCTAGTGATACAACCTATAGAGCTGAAGCTTAGGCCACTGAGGCAACCACAGGCATCTCAACACTGATTAAACCTGGGGAAACTACATAGATGATACATTAAACTGCCCATGTGCAACGTATCCAGCCAATTTAGGACACGTAACCAAAACAAAGGCTTTGCTCTGAAAGCCATTCTGTAAGTTTGGTAGTGGTCACTGATCCACCAGATACACAAATGTCAATTTTTGGACATAAAAAGCAAGTGAAAAACAAGGTAACATAATACCTCCAAAGGAAAATTACAATCTACAAGTGGACTCCAAAGAATAGTAAATTGCCTGACATGAGAATACCAAATAATGATTTTTAAAGAAACTTAATGAGATACAGGAGAATATAGATAGATAATCCTAGAAAATTTAGAAGGAAATTCATGATATAAAAGAGAAATTCAACAAAAAGTCATAAAAAATAAAAAGGCTTGAAGCTAAAGAGCTCTACAAATGAAACAGAGAATGCACTGGAGAGCCTGAAAAGCAACTGATTACACAGAAGAAAAAATTTCTGAGCTTGAAGACAAGTTTTTTGAAATAACCCTGTCAAGCTCTTTTTAAAGATAAATATTGAAAAGAAAAAAGAGCCTTCAAATATGATGGCACACCATTATGAAGGCCAACATTCACACATGGAAGTTATCGGAGATAAAGGAAAGGAGAAAACACACAGCATATATTCAACAAAATAATTGTTGAAAACTTTTCAAATCATGAGAAAGATATTGACATCCAAGTCCAGGAAGTTTAAAGTATCCCTAATAAATCTGACCAAGAATAATCATCTCTAAGACATAAAGCAATTCTGTCAAAGTACAGGACAAAGAGAGAATTCTGCAAAAGGAAGAGGTAAGTATCAATTCCCTTTTAAGGAAATCCTCCCATTAGATTAACAGCAGACTGCAAAAAGAACATATATAATAAAAGTATGATATATTAAAAATCTCAAAAAAAAAATTACCAACCAGGAATACTACATATGGAAAATGTGTCCTTTACAAATGAAGGAAATAAAAACTTTCAATGTAAAACAAAAATTGAGAGTTTCACCACCACCTGATTATCCCTATAAGAAATCCTTGAGGAGGCCTACACCAGAGGTGAAAGGGTGATAACTGCCACTATGAAAATGTACAAAACCCCCCACAAAACTCACTAGTATGGCAGATATACAAAGAGAAGTGGGACACACTCTAAACCACAGAAAACTAGAAAACCACAAAGAGTAATAAGTGGAAAAGAAAAGAAATAAACAACTAGGGAAAAATCAGTGCAGTGATGAGAGTATATCTTTCCCTATAAATAATTAGCCTCAGTGTAAATGGAACAAATTCCCCAAGCAGAATATGTAGACAGGCTGAAATGATTTTTAAAATAGATCCACAGATATGTCACCTACAAGAAGCTCATTTCACCAGTAAAGTCACAGATAGACCAATGTGAAGCGGTAGAAAAGATCAAATGGAAACCTTGAGCAAGAAATAGTAGCTGTCACTATGTAAGGTTTACCACCTTAGATTAAAAAAAAAAAAGCCCACAAGAAGAGACATAGAATGTTACTATATCTTAATAATCAATTCAATAAGAGAAATAACCTTACCAAATACAATATATATGCATCCAATGTGGAAAACTGAATTATATAAAGCAAACATTATATCTAAAAGAAGCAATAGACTCTCACACAGCAATAATTGAGAATTTCCACATCCCCCAACATCCCAAGGTAATCAATAGACAGACTGTACATACAAGAAATCAATAAAGAAAAATTGTAATTAAACTGCCTGATAAAGACCAAATGTACACAACAGACATTTATAGAACAGTTACAGAATAGGCATTGTTCTCATCATCAACACATGGGGCATTTTCCAGCACAGCCCATATATTATACCACAAAACATGCTTCAGCAAATTCTAAAAATTGACTCATCATAATCTGATTGAAATGCATTTTACTGAGAAACAACTTTAGAAATTATACCAATGTAAGGAAATAAAATAGCATTCTCTTGAACAACCAGTGAGCCATGAAAACAAAAGAGAAATTTAGAATTTCTTGAAACAAGTAAAAATGAAAATACAACATACCTAAACTTATGAGATATAGAAAAAAGCACAAATAAGAAAATCCCAGCAGTAAGTACCTACATGAAAAGATGATATACATATTTCAAATAATAATCATGCAACTCAAGAACCTAGAATAATAATAAGAAACCAAACCCATTAACAAAGCTCAGGCAGAAATAAGTAAAATAAAACAAAAGAGCAAGAAATGAAGAGTTGGTTTATTAAAGGTACAGACAAAACTGACAACCTTTTATAGAGACTTATAAATACAAAAAAGAATATTCAAATAAAATCAAAGATGAAGGAGAGACTTTACAACTAATACCACAGAAATGCAAAAGATCATTAGAGACTATTATGAACAACTACATGTCCCTAAATTACAGAACTCAAAGAAATGGATCAATGTGAAGACACATGAAATAATCTATAGGAAAAAATAAAAACCGATGATAGGAACAATGAGGTAGACTTTGTGGAGATGGGAAGGCAGTCTGGTGAAGGGACAAGATGGGAGGGTGGGCAGGAAAGGAGGTAAAATGATCAAAACGAAGTCTATATATGGACCAATTACCCAAGGTGGCTGTAATCATTATATATCACAAACATATACAAATGAAAAAGTAAATAAATAGATAAACTTTACATAGAAAAAAGTAAAAATTGAACCAACAGAAAAAAATCTGAGCAGACCAATAACCAGTAATAAAATTGAATAAGTAATAAAAATTTCCCAACAAAGAAAAGCCTAGGGCCAATGACTTCATTGCTGAATTCTATGAAAACTTGAAGAACTTGTACTAGTTCTTCTATAATTATTCACAAGTATTAAAGGAAAGAAAATCCCCCAAATTTATTCTATGAGGTTAGAATTATCATAACATGTGGAACGTAGATGCAAAATTCTCAATAAAATACTAGCAAGTTATATTCAACTGCTAAAACTAAAAATTTATGTACCATGATCAAGACAGATTTATTCTGGGATTAAAAGAATAGTTCAACATAGAGAAATCCTTGTGGAAATGGGAAGAGGAATTAAAAAGAAGTAAGAGGCGATGTGTATGTGTATCATTCCCCATGATGAACTGATTTATTTTGTACTGTAAATATATCCTAAGGAAAAAGAGGAAAGTGTGATACAAGTATATCACATATACAAAAAAGACAGAAATGTACGGCCATCTCAGTAAATAACAACAAAAAGAATTTGGTAGAATTCAACATCCCTTTATGATAAATACTTTCAGAAAGGTCAATATAGAAGGAACATAATGCAACACAATAGGATTTTTTACTACAAACTTACAACCTACATCATACTGAAGGGAGAAAAGCAGGAGCCACTTTCTCTAAAATAAGTCAAAAGACAAGCATGTCCACTTTTACCACTTTATTTATACAGTATTGGATGCCTTAGCCACAGCAATAAGATGAGAAAGACTCCACCAAATAATTTTCAGAATTGCTAATGAATTCAGTAAAGTTGCAGGATACAAAAGTTGCGTATACAAATCAGTAGTTTTTTAATATAACCAAATAAAATGTCTAAGACAAAAGCAAAACAGCAAAACCATTCATAATAGCTACCAAAAACTCTGGAAGTGAATTTAAACTATGGGTAAAAGAACTTTATGGTAAAACCTATAAAACACTGATAAAATATACTGAGGATGCACAAAAAGTGGAAAGACAAGAATTACATGGATAGGAAGAATTAATATTTTTAAAATGTCTTTACTATCCAAAGCAATCTACAGACTCAGCGAAATTCTTATGAAAATACTAAATACATTCTTCACAGAATTAGAAAAACAATCCTCTAA